TAACCAACGGTCCCGAGATTACCGGGTGTAACCGTCGCGAGATTAGCGGGACTACCACCCATAAATAGAGGACCTCACTCCACGATCAGGTACGATGATTTCTGACCTCGAACTAAACTGGGAATCCGACCTATACTGACTTGATCGTCGGAGTGCTCACATTTTTGTGCAGGTCCGCCCAAGTATTCAGATCGGTCCGGAGGCCGAGTTCGAGCTGCAATCTGAAATACATTATTGTGCATATCCTTGCATAAACAAGATTCATCTGGAACGAAAGCCGATAGAAAATATGAAAATAAAAATTAGGCAAGATTGGTTGAGGTATTCTTGTTTGCATAAGACTCAGATTGTTGGAGCATCCAACAATCATATAGAAGATTTCATTTCAATTTTACTACAGATTCCAAATTGAACTAATGAAAAAAAATAAGAGAATTGCTCAAACAATGGGACCTTCCAAGTGATCCTCGAGTATTTAAGAACGCAACCAGTCATACCAAACTCCACATTTTAATAAAAGTTGACTTGCTAGGGTTAATCTATGTAAGATACATCTAAAATTCTCACAATTTACATTCACCCTACATTTCAATATTAACTGAAGTTAAAAGTAGTCCAAAAAGGCACCAAATTTGATTAGAGCCATTGGCTTTCTTGTCAAATTCCTTCGAAACCTAAACTAGAAAATTGAGGAGAGGAGTCAAGACCAGGAAATAAATCATTCAAAAAGATTACCATATTTCATTTGAACTACCTTCTGCTAGCCCGTGCAATGAAGAGCTCGACAAGCTCATCTGTGGAAATGTTGAGGAGAGCAGCCAAGTCGACTCCATGGAAACTGAACTTGTTGAACGTCATCTTCTTTGGCACACCCGCCGCTGCCAAATCGGGATTGTCATCCACCATGGTTGGAGTTTAGAAATCGAAATACGCCCTAGGGTGAGTGCAATTAGCTATTGTGGTTGTTAGGACTTTTGAGTGCTCGATATGAAAATTTTGAAATTCTTAAAAATAGGATTGTAAAGAGAAATCCCAATGAAGAAAAAGAATCACAACTACGAAAAAGGATGCATGTGAAATCTGCTGAAGTTGAAGCTGACCAAATAAAGAAGAAGATTGATTGAGTACTGTGACTGGGAGTTGCGAACAAAGAATACGAAGCTGCAAACGAAAAAAAAATCCCAACGAGGAAGAAGAACGTGTCCCAGGTGTGATTAATAATAGAAAAGGGAAAAATTGGAATAGTTAAAATTTAAGAATGATGATTTTTTGCTATATTACATTTTTTTTAAATATAGAAAAAGTTTTACCTATCCAATACAAGTTCCCTATATTTTATTCTTGTTCGGATCATTAAAAATATTAAATATATCAAAAATATATATTAATAAAAAAAATATTTCATTACAAATAATTATTGGATTGGTTTTATTTATTTATTCATAGGATTATTTTGATAATTTGAACTTAGCACATTTTAATTTGAAATAGGTGTCTTAACAAATTGAGGTATGCCCAGTCAGAACGAGCATAGTTCAACGGTAATTGGCATATACCACCAACCAAGAGGTTGTGAGTTCGATCCCCCACCCCACATGTTGTACTAAAAAAAATTGAGATATGTCCAAATTGATTCTTGGATTAGTTTCTTGAAACGGTTGTTTTTCTACATCTTTAGTTTGTGTTACAATGAATATGTTGTTATTGCTTTATAGTATACTTCAACCAAACATTCAACTACGTTTTAAAAACTAAGATTTTCAACATCAAAAAAGTTTTGATAAATCAATTTTTAAATATAATTTTTTTCACTGCTTAAACTTAATTGTTGAATAAGATTTTGTTAGTCTCTAATTGCATATATATGTTCTTTGTAAAACTTAGGTAAGTCACTAAATGTTTTTTATCCAATAAATGAAATAATTGCATTAAATTTGTCTGTGTCATGATATGAATTTACCATTCTTGTTTGTCCTTTTCTTCTTCATTTTGGTGAGCGTAGATAGGAGAGCTAAATAATAAAAAATGACATAAATTTAAAAAATATTAATATTAGATCAAAATAGAAAATGTGTTTCCGAATCAAGAAAATTACGTGGAAAAATGAATTGCTTGATTTTATAAGTATCATAATTGAATGCAAATACATTGAACCAATTATATTGCCAAAATAAACTAAGAGAGAAAATGGGTATATGTATTAGATGATAACCCTCATTTTAATATCAAAAGTAAAATATCGAAACAATGTCAGGTACTTCTTAGGCTCGTTATCCCCCTTGTGTCGTGGTACTTGCACGGACTCTTCCTATTGCACTTTGGGTTTAGGTGAGTATTTTTTGTGTCTCTAAAATTAAAGATCTTTTGTTTTATTACGAATCTAAAATTGGGTTCATGCACGGCGTAAATTTAGATGGCCAGAACTACTTGGAAAGAAAGAGGGAGTGGCGAAAGCAGTAATTGAAAGAGAAGCTCTTTTTGTGACAGTTGTTTTTATTAGACCTTGCATGGTTGGACTCCCTAATTTTTGTTGCAATCGTGTAAATGTTGTCCTTGATATGGGTGGCAATGTCTCTAGTGTCCCATTCATTGGTTGACAAAATCAATGGAAAAAAAAAAGTGACATCATGTCATAGCTACGGTTTGTTTGTTGTACTGAATTGTATAACAAAACTATATCTTAAAGTTGTATAACTGCATTTATTTATTTGCTAACATTGTGTCTACTTCTAGTTATTAGAAGAATATATTAAGAAAATACATATTCAGAGGAATTTAATTTACTTTTTTAGCAAAGAAAAGCTATATTAAGAAGAAACAACATCATGACGGGTCATATTTGAATTAGAAGCACCACTGGCCGGATGTAAAAGCGAAGTGGGCAAATACCTATCCCAAAGGACGGAAAGACCAAAACGAGACATGTTTTGCCAAAAGATCAATGTGGGAATTATGGTTGCGACTAATGTGAACAAAACTTCGAAAAAATTCTTAAATTATTCATTCATAGCGATTTTTCAAAACATGATCATGACTTTCACGGACAGTGATGGAACATCTTCTATATCAAATAGATGATCCCTCCTACTCAAATTATTATTGAGTTATATTTTTTCTACTTTGAGCTATTTTGAATAGGGAGTTACCTTTATTTTAAAATTCAAGTAGTTAGTTTAATACTTAAAAAATATATTGGATAAGATGTTGAAGATAATTTTTAACATAAAAAAATATAAAATAAACTTTTAGAGAGAATTACAAAAATATCACAAATGAATAAGGTTTAAATTTTACTGACATAATTTGCAAACTTATACAATCACACGAGACCAACTAAAACTCACTTTTGTGACATTTAAAAAAAATAATAAAAATGAATGATAATTTTATAAATACATATTTATTTTATGTCGTTTAATATACTTTTTTCCAAATTTAATTATCAATAATTTTTTAATTTTGTTTTTTTGAAAATCTTGTTTTATTACATCCCCTATTATAATTTGCCAACAATCACTGCCATGCCACATCAGCCAACAATCACTGCCATCTCAGCAAGCACACAACTCAGCAGCTCATTAAGTCATCAACTACACTCGAATGGAGAAAATGAAAACCAAATAATTCTCTCCTTATTTCGCCTCTCTAGTCATAATTGCGACGTATCATCTATATTGTATGTTACACAAATAAAATATATAACTAAAGTAGATCCCACAATATTTTTAAAAGCTAAAAATACTCAAATATTATATGTTTATATGTATTTTGTTGTGAGATATTCTCTCCCTCTAATATTACCTCTCTCTTGCCTAATATTATTTGTATTTCTAAGATATACCTTTTTTTCTTCTTTTTTTTTCTTTCCTATGTTCGTCCTCTATTTTTTCATTTGAATCTTTTTAAAACTCCACTTTGGTCGGTACTTATTCTATTTATTTGTAGATTTTTCTCCATCCAAACTAAACCTATTCGTTCTTTTTGTTGAACAAAATGTTATAGTTCGAAGTATGTATGATCAATCTATCTACTTTTCATTTTTTTTCTTTGTTTTTTAATTCATTTCTACTCTTTCTTTAGTGCATACAAATAGTTGGACCTATTCATATTGAAAATCTCTAAGTATGTTATGTTTAATTCTTTGCTTTTTTAAATTGTTTTTAACTAATAATTTTTATGAATTTTGATTATAATTAAGTACGTACATATTTTTTTTTTGTCAACTTGAGCAAAATTATTATTGAACTTTATGTTTAGTTGAAAATTTTGTTGACAAATCAATCGTTAGCCTAGAACAACTTCATATGAGTGAGTTTTTTTCCCTCGTAGAACATGTAAATTACACTTTTTTACTTTATATGTTAATAATTATAAATCATGTAGATGATATTGGCATAAGCTCAATTGAATTAGAAAACAAAGTAGAGATAAGGATCACAATACTAGTTACTTCGATGCCCCTTATGAGGAATGTATACCAAAGATTGGAATGATGTTTTCAAGTGAAGGTGAAGCAGTCAAGTTTTATAATAAATATGCAAAAACAACTAGGTTTAGTTTGCAACAAAACCAATATAGCGATTGACAGATGGAACTACAAGGAAGAGACTAGTTGGTTATTCGAAAGAAATAGAAAGCTGAACAATCCTTCCAAAGTAAAAATGTCAATTGATTAGAGACAAGAATAACATGTTCAGCAAAAATAGTTGGTTATTCGAATAAATAAGTACAACATGATATGTGCAGCTTTTACTGGAGTGAACCATCATATGTAGAATATCTTGTTTCGTTGTGCGTATTTATTTGATGAGACAACAAAGACTTTTATTTGGTTATTTGAAGCTTTCCTACAAGCAATAGAAGGTCGTCAGCCGAAAATGATATTTACGGACCAATGTTAAGCAATGACCAATGCAATTGAAAATGTATTTCCTAAGACTCAACACCGACCTTTTTTACGGCATATTGGTCAAAATGCCCCTAAACATCTTGCTCATACTCTAAGAATGTGTGATTTCAAAACACTATTCAATAGATGTCTTCACAATTGTGAGACTCAACAAGAGTTTGAAGAAGTATACAATCGACTTATAACCATTATTGATGTGTCTTAAAGTTCATGCTCGTAACATTTTTTTAGTTACGAAGAAAATGGTGTCTATCTTTCAGTAAGCAATATTTCTCGGTGGGTATATTGTCAACACAGAGAAGTGAAAGTATGAATAGTGTCTTTCGAAATATGACAAGTAAGTCTACATCTCTTACTCCATTTATTTTTTCATTATGAAAACGTGTTAAAGAGGATTCGTCGATTTGAGTTGATTAATGATTTCCAATATAGTCAAACTACACCTTCTTGGGCAAGTAAATTTTCAGGCACGATCCAACAAGCATCTATAGCATATACTCATGCTAATTTTCAAGAATTTCAAGATGAGTTGTTTGAATCTTTATTAGTGAGTATTGAAAGCGTCAATAATGATGAGAATTATTTCACATATAAGTTAGTGAAAACATGGAAATGAGAAATAGTACATTGGTGAATTTCATACATTATGCTCAAGTTATTGATTGTACATGTAAGAATTACAAACTTAAGAGTTCTAAATTTTCACAATACTTTTTCTATTCCTCCTTCATTTGTTACGAGGAGATGGACAAAATATGGAAAGGATGGATTAGGGATAAAAAATGACTATGAAGAAGTAGTTAACAAAAACAAAGGAAATTCGAAGATGAACAAAGTTATGCAAAAAGACCATTCATTTTGTTACTAAATGTGTTGTGACATATGAAACAACCAAGATGGAAGAAGAAACTTTGATAAAGGCTTGAAAAGTATCGACGAAATAGTATAAAATCGGGTTTTAATGACGGGCATTTCCTATCATTGAAGGGAAACGATC